AAGCACAGGGAGTCTCCACTCTGTCAGTTCTGCAATGAATAGGGATTCTATACAATGTCATTTGCATTCTTATAACGATTCTTTTAGTTCTGGGCGATTGAGACCAAAAAGTGTTATTGAGAGCCGTGATGGGGAATTGAGGGAAACAAGTCCATGCTGGGAGGAAAATGATTTTGAGGGTGAGGAAATTGAACAGGTGAACTATGAGTCTGATGAAGAGAAATTATGTCACACAGCAGAAATTAGTGAAACAAAGATGGGGGTTGAGAAAAAAGGACATGGTTCAGAATCTGAGGACATGGTTAAGAAAACTGCATCTGTCATCGGAGATGCTTTGAGAGGGAGCTCAGCAGGATCCATGGAAATGGCTGATGCCAGCAAGATAAAGAAGAATGCTGTTGTTTGTAGAGATGGTTCTGATGTCAAGTGTTGTTCTTCTAGATTGGTTGAATTGAAGGCATCCAAGAGGGAGATGCTTCCAAGGGTTGATGAGCCATTATCCTCTGATGGCATACAGAGGAGCAGGTGAATTTTATGGTTCTATTTCTCTGTGTTTTTTTTTTTTCAACAATTTTACTTATAAAATTGCTTAGTTATTAATTTCCTTTTGTTCTCAGGTCTGATGTTTTTGGTGATTCATGTCGCCGGGATGAAAGGGATGTTGGCTCTGACAAATTCATGGGAAGAGATAGATCTGCTTTACATGTGCGTGGCAGAAGCCCAGGAGGTGGTCAGTTTGTCAGTTCTCCTATGGGTTATTGGGATTCTAGACGACGTCATTCACCTATTTATAGCAGTTCTTATGATGTCGGACGCCCCAGACCCAGAAGTGTTATTGAGAGTCATGTCGGCTCAGATACTACTGTATCAGGATCTGCAAGGGTTTCTGGACCTGACAACATTCGAAGGCAATTCTTAACCTCTTCATCAAATGGTGTTTACCGGGGCCTAGGGAGGAGATCATCTCTGGCAAACCCAGATGACACAAATGCTATGCATACTGGAATTTTACATGAAAGAGACACTAGTCCTGGTAGGACTAGGGTTAGAAGATATCAACAAGGAGCGAGTAGAGGTTTCAGAGATAGAACCATGCCTGAAGATTCCACTGAATTTTCTGGTCGCATGCCTTATCGGATAGCAAGAAGAGAAAGAAGTATCTCTCCCTTCAGTGGAGGAAGACTTAATTATGGTCAACCATACAAGAAATCTCGATCAAGTTCGAGGGCTCATTCCCCTATTGCCTGGCGACGAACTAAATCTCCGAATTTTAAGCAGGATCCTAGAATGGAAAGAGTCAGATTACCATTTCAGAAGCGCTTCGCTTCAGATTGTGAGGAAGATTTGATGTCTCCTCCAAGAAATCGATTCTCACCCCATCGTTATTCCAGGTGGTTTGAGGATCGGAACCTGGAAAATTTTAGGGGCAGGAAATCACCTATGAGAATTTTTCGTCAGAGCCAAAGGTTTGGGCCAGCCCGATCTGTTAGAAGACCGAACTCTGATGATTGCTTCAGACCCCTGATACGATCCAGAAGATTTCCTGATATGGCTGGTGGTAGCAGGACATGTAAATATGAAGGCAGTGATGATGACAAACATGGGAACAGGTATGAGATGATTCATCCTGTGAGGCGTTTCGAATCAGATGGTGTTGTGCAAATTTTCGATACAATGGAGAGAACTCCAATGTGGGAATGACTTCTGATTTTGATGACCGCAAAAAGGGTGCTGCTGGGAGGCCTGGGGTTGCACTAAGATTAACTGGTGAAGAGATGTTATTTAAGATACACATATGAATAGATGCAGTTCATTTGCAGTAGTGAAAAGAAATGCATAGCTTGAAAGAATTCCATGTTGGCTGCAATCTCTTAGCTTCCTGGTGGATTAAAATTTGTTCCCTCTCGAATACATTTAATTTTCGTTCCGACAAAAGGAATGTCAGGGGCTCAGATCAATTTTGTCTCTCATGGTGTTCTTGGGTAACTTTTCTATCCGGTCTCAGAATTTTTTAGAGTTTCTGTAGGTCTGATAGGGCACATTTTTTTTTTTTTCTATAAATGTTTTTCCTTTTCCTTTTCTTTAAGATCATTTTCCTGATGTTCTTTAGTTGTTTTCAGTATCTACTTCCATATTATGATTAATGAAAAAAAAAATCAAATGGTTTTTTTGCACTTCACTATGCTTAATGAACTTGCAGTCCTCCATCATTTCAGTTGCTGTATCTTTCTATCCCAAGATACTTTCCAATTTCTTTTCCGGGTGGGTGCACAAAGCTCAAACGCTACTAACGTATTGTTTGTTTTGGTCACTACTCTCTCAGGTAAGCTATGAATCTTTTTAGTAGCTCAAAACTTGGTCATTGACAGAAATGTCAAATGTGTTCGATCATACCTCACCTTCCCGATCCGAAACAAAGTTATGATGTGGTAGAACTTTGGATGAAATATTTGTAACCTAAACTGTAAGGAATTATGTGATTTGCTCAACAAATAAGTACAATACAGGATTCAGAGAATCTATCTGTAAATGTTTAGAGCTGGGGACTGAACTGAAAATCTGTATTTGAAAAATAAAAAAAAAAAATTGAAGTAGGAGTTCTGGTCTATCTCCTGCAATGTCCATCCATGAATAAATAAATGATTTGGGACACCTTCATTTTGTGGTTGTCAAGAAATTATGTGCAGACAATATGACTTTGTAAATTTTAGGTTAGATAAATTGAATTGTAGATTAAACTACCTTCGACTAACTGTGGATGGAGAAGACCATATACTATATATGTTAATCGTAAATTCGTAATTAGTTGAGACTAACATACATGATTGATTTGTAATTCAACCTAGCTCTAATCACAATACAGGGAAAGATTCGCGAACTTGGCGATTTCATCACTGTTTTGGTGAACTATCGAAAGATCAATTCTATGAAATGCGATCAACCTTTAAAATGGGTGAATGAATCACTATAAAATTGTACGAAAATTAATACATTACGCTCTTGTTGGAGGACCATAATAACACCCATGAGAGTTTCAGAGTGTTTTTGATTGTCAAGATTCCTGGATATGATCTTCAAAGTAATTTTACGCTGAAACTCTTCTGCAATCTTTTCAGGCCTCGAGAATTTTCCGTTGATTTTTCATTTTCACATAAAAAAACGTGCTTAGAACAGAGATTTTGAACCTAAGAAATGGTTATGTGATCGTCTATATGGTTTGTTAATTAAAGTAGAACAAGAACTAATATTCTTCAAATCACCAATTGAAACTCATGGATTTAAAATGCAGATTCTCTGCAAAACCAGAGGAGCAGATTGCTGCCACTTCTTGCTTCATCTTCTTCGGTCCACTTACCAAAACTCCAACACTTGTTCCTTTACAGTTCTCTGATAATATCTCTGCAACAAAATATTTTCTGTCATTTTCTATAAAAACCATAGTAGGCATATAAAACATGTATGAACTGTAAAAATAAAAATTCAATTTGGTTCGTGACGTACTCTTCAGATCAGGCCTTTCACCATAATGCACCTCAGTGAATTGAAGAAAAGAATGATGGGGAAGACTCTCCAGCTCTCTTTCATCACTGTATATCCATGATGAGTCCGACATTGTTCTCGCCTCTGCTGGCGAATCTCTGTTCTGGATCTGTCTCATTTCCTTGGAGTCCTTGTTTTTCTTGTTCCAAACAAAAGCTGCGGTTGCAGCTATGGCTATAGATATACATGTGAAAATCATGTTGACAGCCGCTCTTGGAGCACTGGGGTATATCATATCTGAGTTATGGTCAATTGGGTATATATGATATCTTGTTACAATGCCTATAACAATAAGAAATATTATGAATGATGATGTGATTATGGCACCTAGCCAGAGCCAACTGCTTGGGCCTAAAATGGCTGAAACTGGCGCATCCAATGGGTCTAGTTTGAACCATTTTGTCTGTATGAGGTTCTGGTCAGGGCTGGGTCCTTGTTCTTTTGTTACATAGGCTTGTACTTGGAGTTTTAAACTGTGAATGTCAATTGATGTGCCTGAAACTGGTAGGAGGAGGTCTAGCATGGTGACATCTAGAGATTTTCTGAATACGGATATGAGAAGAACTCGTGGAGTATCGAGAGACTCATTGGCCCGGAAGAGAAGATCACGAATGATGGAGATGAAAGGAGTAATCCCACTTCCCCCGCTGATCATTATGAGCATATCACGCCTGCAATTGCTTAGACAAGCATGGTGTGAGTATTGGAACTGGTAAACAATATGGAAATGTCAAAAATAGAAGAATTCCCAAGAAGTGGAAGAGACAAACCCAGAAAGGAAATTAAATTTCCAAACATAGCAGTTGGAATTTTGTGAATGTATTATTAATCACCTGTGAAAATGAGTTGAAACAGGTCCATAAGGTCCTTCAATGGAGACCTCAAGGCGGTCCATGGAGATGGAGGAAGATGATGAAAGCTTCTTATACAACTCACTAGACCATCTCCCTTCACTTTTAATGACAATGCTTAGCTTCTGATGATCCATCTCGCAGCTTGAAGTAATTGAAAAAGGATGCCATTGAAGCTTGGAAATTCCAGGCACATTTACAAACATAATGCTTGTTGGGTTATAATTCAACTCTGAATAAAACCAGATCAAATTTCTCATCAGATTTTGGATGTTACTAAGAAAATCCATTATCAAATTAAGATAGTTGGGTTGGGTTCTTTTCTTTTTAGCTATACTTTTATAAGGAAAACCAAGTACTTCACATATATATGTACATATATACCTTGGCTTTTCAAGAAATTCAATTCCACAGTTTCACCGGGCAAAATTCTTGCAGAAAGCAATCTAACCCTTTGCTGGGACTGTAAGAATCTCAAGTAGCGGTCGATCAAAAAGAGGTAAAATCCAGGAAGAATGAGGCAAGTGGAGGAGAACCCGACATGAAAAACATAGAAGACGACGAATAAAATGTAAAGATGATGAGTGTAGAAGAAGAGCTCAAATATTTTTCTTCGAATACTCGGAATGCTTGTCACCCACATGGCTAACCCAGACAGTAAAGCTACTCCTCCAGCCAAATTTGAAAAACCGATCTTACTCCACTTTAGAATCTGCATTCACAGAATTGGTTCAAGAAAGTGCCTATTAGTTACTTCTTGTATAAGTTACTGTGAGTGTTATAATTTACAGCACCTGAGTTTATATATATATATATATATATATGTATGTATGTATTGATTTACCAGTGAAATTTGATCTGATGATGCCCAGAAGAGAATGTAACATAAGCCATGTGCAGTGAAGAAAGTAAGAGCAAGATGAGCAGCCCAGATATGATACCTAATGCTGGATTCTGAGGTGAGGCCAAACAGCTGCAAAACTGAAGAGCTTCTGGTAACTGGATAGAAGAGAAAGGCTAAGCAGATATTCCCAACCAGACCCACTGCTAGACCTGACATTTCCAACTTACTCTTCCACCTGAATAATCACCAAAAAAAAAAAAAAAAAGATCAGAGAAAATAACCCAGAATTCATCTTAATTTTCAATTTGAAAATTTAAGTGGGTTTTCCTCCAATAATCAGGTTTAATTAAGGTAATTCGTCGTAATAAATTTTGTTAAAAAAGTTTGATTCTGGATCGATTATTCTGAAAGCAGAAGCAAAAAAACAATATATTTCATAGGTTTCTCTTGTTTAAAAACAAAAATTATGCTTACACTTGCTGATGATTATCTCCTGCTTCTCGGCTTATATCTGTAAACATACTTGTCAAGTACGAATACAGAGACCAGCTCAGTAACCCCATGAACATGGTTAAAAATAAGAGCTCTGTCAAGGATACAACTCCAAGAGGGCCCTTTACGAGAACTGGCCGTTTTCGCCATGCCAGACGAGGCTTCAAATTTTTCCTGTAATTAAAATATAATAGAATATAAATAATAGATTGAATAGTAAAAAATTTTTAACAAAATATCTACCGATTCGTGTTACGATCGTTGTGATCAGACAATTTGGTCACAAGATGAAGGTATAAACAGCTCAAAGCAGCAACGAAGAGCACCGGGAAGGCGAAAACCAGCATTCTACCACCTAATTATAAGAGAAAATTAGGTTATTGTTTGACACAGTAATAAGAATTGAAGAAAAATATATAAATCAATGATTAATATTTGTGTAGTTATCAATTTACCTTGACTTCCGAAATAAGTAGAATCAGTTTTGTGAAGGATTTCAGGCAGCCATTGAGTGTAGAACAAGTTGGTGGAGTTCACGAACCAGATCATCATGTACCCAAGAGAGACAAACATTATTAGTAGCCATATTGCTGCTATCATTATTCTTCTTGGAACTTCACTAATGGCGGAAATTTCTTTCATTGAACCCATCTCTCTTCTCTCTCTCTCTCTCTCTCTCTATATATATATATATATGTATGTATGTATGTATGTGTGTGTGTGTGTGTATATGTTTTATACATACCTGTGATAATTAGAATCTGGGAATCTTGAAAAACGTTTATGTTGAGGAGTGGCCTTTGAATAATGTCGGCAAAAAGGAAAATAATTTTGGTTTTCTCATGATGACAAGTTTTTGGAAACGAAAAGTTTCATATAGATTTCCTATTTAGCCGTATGCGTACGTACGTACATACATGCATTTCAACTAGTTGACTCATAACTTAGTACCATGGTGGAGATCTAAAACATATATATATATATATATGTATATATATAGAGTTCATCACAGCAAATTCAGTCTGAAATGAATTCCTCAATTTGAAAATCTGAAATTGCAAATGGGTTTCTCAAGAAAAAATCTATTAATTTTTAGTTCCATTATATATAAACTTTTTTAAAAAATATATACGTAGTGGGAATATTTGACTTTCATTTTTCCTTCGTTTAAGCTTTTTGTAAGCTGTATTTTGTCTCTTGCATAAAACACAATGATTATTCAACTTTATTTTTTTCTCTGTCATGATTACTCAACAGTTCAAAATAAAAACAATGTAATAAATAAAAAATATTTAAAATAAAATTATAACGAAAAAATATTACGAACTAAATTATAAAAAATATCAAGTCTCGAAAAAAAAAAAAAATTAATTTGATAATTTGTATTAATAATAAAAATATTCTTAACAGGATTCAATCTGTTCGTCGTGATGCTTCCAGATTAAAACTAGAGTTATATAGAACAAATTGACATCCCAATAATTTCAGTTTATTTCGTACAGGAAATATATACAGAGGAAGTTTTCTTTGGAGATCCATCAGCAGTTACCTACAGTACACACAACAAAAGTGATATATATATATATATACATTGCATATTTATTTATATATATATATACACACACACACATAAAATAAACAAGCATTTTTCGTATCACCAGTCGAAGCTAATAGACTCGAAGTGTAGATTCTGAGCCAACCCAGATGAGCAAATTTTTGCCACCTCGTGTCTCATTGTTCTTGGGCCGCAGACCAAGACTCCCACGTCTGATCCTTCATATTCAAACAGTATTTCTGCAATTTGATCCGTACCCGTTATAATCACATAAATAAGATGTTATATAAAGTAGTTTTTTAAGTGTAAATTTGGTTCAAATTCTAATAATATAATATATGATAAAAATAGTTCGTATAATTAGTATACACCGATAGTTTCTCGTGCTTTAATATTATGAATCGACGTAGAATTGAGCAACTTACTCTTGAGATTAGGCCTTGATCCGAAATGGATGTTGGTAGCTTGAACAAGGGCCTGGCATGGAAGACTTTCAAGCTCTCCATCAACACCGCAAAACCACGAACCAGGTGATGCTGCCGGAGACGAAACATCCAAGCTCTGTACTTGGATGTTCTCAACAGCATTCCGTCTTTTGGAGAAGAGAAAAGCTGCACTAGAAACCACGAAAACGCAAACACAAACTAGAAACATGTCCCAGAGAGCTCTATAAGAGAAATGGTAAACTTCGCCAGTGTTATGATCAACTGGGTATATATAGAAACGGGTAACAATGGCCAGGAGGAGGACAAACATGATAAATGATGATAAGATTACGGCACCGAGCCATAGCCAGTTGTTGGTGCCAAGGACTGAAGAAACAGGCGTGTCCATTGGGTGTGGCTTGAACCAGAACGTTTGGAGCTGGAGTGACTTGTTTCCCTCGGTATTCTGCGCTTCTTTGTCTCTGGTGACATAGGCTTCAATCTGTATTTGGATTTTAGGGAGCTGGTTAGGCATACCGGTGGTTGGAAGAAGTAAGTCTAGCATCGCCAGGTCGACATAATGCTTGAAAACGCATAGGAGAAGTACTCGCGGGATCTTGCTGTCTGGTTTTTGGCCCTGGAAAATGATCTCGCGGATGATAGAGATGAAAGGAGTTATACCACTGCCTCCACTTACCATTATCAGCATTTCATGTCTGCCAATTAAGATGCTAATCAAACTCAACTGTATATCAAAACTTGGAACATCATAACATCCTTCCACATAAACCAACAAGGGTATGAGTCTAAATATTACTTCTCCTCTGGGTTGTAGTTATTATATAAGTAAAACTATTTCACAACTTACAAATTATTATTTGAATTAGTATATCTCGTTAAGTACGAAATTACTATATTGAGCTGACCTTAGAAAGTTCGATGTAGTAGGACCATAAGGTCCTTCAGTAGACACTTGAAGCCTATCGAGCGAAGAAGAGATCTGTTTGTAAAGCTTGTGACTCCAAATTCCTTCGCATTTGATAACAATGCTGAGATTTTCCGGCTCCGAGTTACAATTAGAAGTGACTGTAAACGGGTGCCATTGCAGTTTAGAAACTGCAGGCAGACTTACAAACATCATGCTGGTGGGATTATACAGCAATCCTGAGAAAGAAGAAGACTTAGTTATGGGTTACTATTTCCGGCAATGTATAAAAGTTGATTGAATTCAACATCTTGATCAACTATGTAATTGTATTAGAGTTTTTCCCTCAAAATTTTAAGCTTTTACTGTAATTAATCGTAAAACTCTATCATTCAATAAGATGTTAGAACTAGATGCCAAAATTTTAAGAGAAAATTTGGCTTGAATCGAAATGGAGGAGGGTAATTATTATAAAGAATAGCTTAAGGCTGTATGATAGTTTGGTTAAAGATATGCTTGCTTTATTGTTTACTTCATCAAAGATTTTTTTTAAAAAAAATTAATAAAAGTATTTTTGAATTTGAAAAATTAAAGTATAAAACGAGGAGAGTAGTATCGTTCAGTATTTTTTTAATAAAATAAAATTATAGTATGTATCATTTATAAGCATTAAAATGATACAAACCCATGTACAAAATTATTACACTTCAATCGTGATATTTATAACATTATAAAAATTTTGGTATTATACAAAAAATGATTTGTAATTAATAATTTAAAACTATTTATCTATAATCTTATTAAAGTTAGGTCTTACTTCTTAAAAAATTTTCGTATTTTATCTTAAATCTTCTCGGAAACATCCGATAAAATTAAGATGATATAGAAAAAATTAGCATGGGCTCTGTAAAAAAATTTCTTACATTATTTTATTTAAAAATATATATAAATTTTTTGAAAAAATTATCTTTTGTTTTTTAAAAAAAAAAAAATTAAAAACTTATAAGTTACTAACTGTAACACTTTTATTCACTAATAAGTATCTCATCAAATATTTGCAACTTTTGGAGGAGCTTATAAGCTCTCTTGGTAAGCCAAAGTTTTAAAAAATAAGAACTTATAAGTTATTAACCGTAACACTTTTATTCACTAATAAGTATCTCATCAAATATTTGTAACTTTTGGAGGAGCTTATAAGCTCTCTTGGTAAGCCAAACACTTTAACATTTTTGATAATTGATCATCGAGTTTTTTATTTTTTACATGTATTAAATTATGGGTAGTAATAGAAAAATAACCTGGATTCTTCAAAAAGTTAAGCTCAACGATCCCACATGGTAACAGACGAGCTGAAATAAGTCGTGACCTTTGACGGGATTGCAAGAATCTCAAAAATCGATCGATAAGGAAGAGAAAGATCCCAGGAAGGATCATGCAGAAGTAGAAATCACCAACATGGAGTACATAGAAGACAATGTAAAGTGTGTAGAGATGGTGCGTGTAGAAGAAAAGCTCGAACATCTTTCTTCTTATGCATGGGAAGCTTGTCACCCACATAGCTAATGCAATCACAATTGCAATCTCTCCAGCCACATTTGATACCCATGTTTTGCTCCACTCCAGCATCTACAAATTTTGCATTTTTATGTTAATTAATGATCATCGTTAAAGCCAAACTAATTGAATGATTTCATTTTATGGTACCCGCAATAAGTTAGATAATAAAATTTTTCCTCAGTTTTAAATGTAAATGTTTTTGTCTTCTAAATAGAAGTTACAGATTAATATGATTAAAATGGTTATGACTCAGTTTCCTGATTCGACTCACCTCCTGCCCATCTTTTCGAAAAATGATATGGCCTATCGTGTAACCCAAGAAATCATTGATATAACACAAGGGTACCCTAGGTTCATTCCACTATCCTCTAATTTCTAACTCTAATATTTATGTTAATCTTGACCTATGTTGTTCAAAATTATATGCAAGTGTCTGGTACGAGTAATGATCTAAATGCCCCACTATATAACTTTTGTAATCGAAGATTTGGGAGCTTGGTAACGAAAGTTCCCAAAATATTTCGAGTATAAAACAATTATAAAATATATAAATCTATGTGAAGATCATGTACATAACAAAATAAAGTTACTTAGCACAAAAAGATAACTAATATTTACTAATATATAACTACTTAAGTATTTATTATATAAAAGTCTGCAAAATTTAGAATTTCAAGAAAAAAACCAATTAATTTGTGTTCCTTTCACCTTACAATATAGAAGTCTATATCGTTTTTTTCATTTTATCATATATCATAATATATCTAATTGTAGTTTATCAAGTGCTCGACATGCACACTTAGTGTTGGACACATATCCTATGTCCACAAACTATTATAATGTTTTGGATATAGTTATGACACAAAGACTAAAACATACGAGTTAACATAAATCTTGATATTTACAATTAAAACATTATATGCACGGTCAATTTTATTTTTGTTCTGTCTTAATTTTTTTAATATAAAAAGTTGATTACTACAAATTAAAATGTGAATCAAATTTCTATCTACATCCAAAAAATTTAACTTAGGGGTAAGAGGTGAAACCAAACATACAAACTATATGAATTGAACAAGAATGGAATGAGAATTGAACCAAATTCACTGCATATATTTACCCTAATTCTATCAATGAACTCAAATTCACTGTTCTATTTATTTAGTAGAAAATATATTTTTATAGACAAAAAGTAAGATATGTATATTCAAACAAAGATTTTTTAAAATTTTACTGAATTTACAGTAAAAAATGAACTCTTTGACCAAAGTAAGTAGATGAAATCAAGACATGTTTCAACATGCATATACCATTACGTTAATTAAGACACCACTAAATGAGATTTCGCATTTAATCTGTGAGAACTTAGCCAATAATTGATATTCCCCTTCGACATTGACATACAAGATCAACCTCATATTTATTCTTTTTTCTCTCTTTTTGAGTAAAGACAAAAAGAAAATGATGACCAACAGAAGGAATCTAAGCCCACCACTATGTAATTCTAACTCTTGTGATAAAAAACAAAAGCATGAATTGAGGCCAAAAAAACTCAAAGATGAGAGAGCTTTTTGACATTTTCCATACGAAAAGGTGAAAATGACTCCACATCTTTCATCCACCACAAAACAATAATTTACTCGCTAAATATCACAAGATTTAGGACTGTGCCGTTTGGCTCTTTTTTGATTTAGCTAAATTTATAGGATTTGTAAGCTCACCGAGACATAAAAGCTCATAGAAAGATAGGCTCTATTGTGTTTGGTAATTTTTTTTTTTCATCTAACTTGAAAGCTGTATATAAATTGGATCCCGAAGTTAAAACGTAGTGTATGTGTATTCCTCAAAATGCGTAATTTAGGTCACTTGACCACCATAAGTACGTACCTCAACCATTTGATTGGTCATGGCCCAGTAAATCATGAAACCTATGGTGTGAGCAAAAAAGAGAACCATTGAAAGATGTCCAAGCCAGATATGATACTTGATACTAGACTCTGAAGTCAGCCCAAGTAGAGGCAAGATTGAAGATCCTCTCGTCACTGGAAAGAACAGAAATGCCCAGCATATATTTCCTATATACCCAAGTCTCAGTGACACACTTCTAAACTTAGCTTGCCACCTGCCAAAAAATAAAGCACAATCATAGCAAAAACTCGTCAAACACCGTAAGATATTTCGAGCTAAAGTACCAATAGCAGAATAATTCTTGAAAACTCAATTATAAACAGTGGTTGACTTAACCCTCGTCAAACTCCATCCATCGAGTTCTTATCTCACAGGATCTAGTACCATAAAAACTAACTCAAGCGCAATAGAAAGAACTGTTATGTATCAAAGAAAACAAAAGGGTCGAGAAGGAAATGAATAGATCGATTCTTTTGAAGTTAAATTATCTTCTTAGACGTGGGTGCCAATCAGCTTAGCTGGTAAAGTTAGTGCATGCCTTTTCAGTTTGAATCTCGCTCACAATCTGTATATTTGTGTTAGGCAAAAATCATTAAGGGACAAGTTGTTTTTCACTGTGAATAACCCATCAGTGGAAAAGATCTCCTGTGAACAATTATTATTTAAACTAATCTAATGAAAGAGTAGAAAATATGAGCATATAATGAATCACATATCTAGCATGTATTAATTCAATCTCAAGCAAATTTTGTATATCTAATCTTAAGGAAAGTCATTTATATAGTACGTACACTTTCTCTCCTTGTTTATGCATGTGGAGGTTTCCAAAGCTGACATGCAGGTAATTAGCAAGAGACCAAATCAAGAGCACAACAAACATAACTGCAAAAACAAGCTCCAGCGCGGTAACAATCCCTAGAGGAGCCATCACTAGAATTGGACGGCTTGATAAGCCCAAACGCCTGCTTTTCTTAACCACACTGCATGCGACCAGCAATAATTATAAACCTTCTTAATAGATATTATTATACATAAGTAGGATTACACATATGATATATGCTTCATACATATGAAAATGCTAAAAAAAGCTGAAGACTAATTAGTTGATTACTTACTTTTTCGATGGAGGACTTCCTGATTTGCTCTCCAGGTGGAGATAAACACAACTCAAAGCTGCTATTATCATCATAGGAACTGAGAAAAGCACAAGATTTGTCCCTACAAAAATTAAAATATGGTCTAGGTAAGAATTTCTTTAACCAAAAAACAGATCAACCAACTCCTACAAAAAAAACAAAAAAACAAGCAAGATAGAACTGTGCAAACCAATTAACGTTAACGGTAACAAAAGATAATAATGACCTTGTTCTCCAAAATACGTGGAGTTAAGTTCGCTAGCTAGCTTGGGTGTCCATGTCATTTTATATACTTTTGTAGGCAACAGGATCCAGATCAAGAGCCATCCAAGAAACAGCACAAGAAAGATCATCCTTAATACAGTGTTAATGTTGTTGTTGCCCATCATCTCTACCCTTGAGTTATGACGAGCTTGGAATGCTTGTGCGTTTGTGTGTCTGTATATATATGTATATATAAGCGCACACCATTCAAAAGGAAAACACCATGAGATGCACCAGTTAATGAAAAGGAATTTAAGTACATTAAATATTCTGTTTGCTCTAAATTAACAATGATTTGATCTAGGTTATATACACATAGATATATGTACACAGTTAGATAATAAATAATAGATTATAACATTTTTATAAATATAAGTTTTTGGTATAAAAAATCAGTCATAGAAACACAACTTAATTTAAAGTTGTAGAAATAATTCATCAATCTTTAAGTTAGTAGTAATTGGCGAACATCTCTTTTTTAATATAAAGTAATATATATTGATTTAACATTAAGTAAAAGTCAACACTTGAAGTTTTAATATAAACAAAAATTTAGACAACTGTAGAGTCAAGATCCCTTGCATATTTCTATAATATCTGGATTAGACTTTAAGTAATGACTCCACAGAAACCTTATTTCCCCTTTTATTATCACTGAGTTCATTTAGTACAAATTGGGGTTCCTCCTTTTATTACCACAGTGTTGATTGATCTGATATCATAAGATCCCTATATAATTTTTAATTATCAGTCGGTCCTTCAATTTCCTAAAAGTCAAAATATCTATGAGGGTGCATACAATAAACATTAACTTACAAAAGTACCCCTTTAACTTAAGCACAATTACAAAATACCCTCTTATTTAATTCATTAAAAAATACTTGACTGTGTACGATCATCTAGCAACCCTCTAGTATAATTATGAGATTAAAAACTTATTTAACACTTAATTAACATATTATTACTGATAAATTAACTGATAGTTTAGTAGTAAAAAAGAATAAGAGAGTACTTTTATAATTATGTTCAAAAGTTAACAAGATATGCTCATAAACTATCTTAAAACAATGCCTCATGCTTTGGAAGAGACATTTCACCATCAATATAAGGAACTCTCTTAGACTTAACAAAGATTTAACGTATCTATTAGGCATATCATACAGCATGTACCCATCATCAAGACAAATTTTTTTCTGAGATAAATCAAAAATTTTAAAGCATAAAATAGCATTTGATCATCAATATCTTGTATAGTTTATGGAGAGATCTGTAATTTTACTCCAGTCTAAAAATGTCAAAAAAAATTTCATAAATATTAGATTATGGTAACAAATGAAACATGATTCCAGGATTCTCACCAACTGCAAAATCTTTGATTTCAGTAATAACGATTATTGTGTAAGGTTGAGTAATATTCTATCTGTGCACAACTATTAAAAACACATATTACTACAACATAACTTGTTTATATAAGAATTGAGCACTTCATCACATGAACTATCACTCCATCGTCTATTCTAAAGGTTCCAACTGTACTATCACTTGAACCATGGGACTTATAGTACATAACATTGAAATTAGTTTATTCATTTCTCTCTTGTGTTTAAACTTTGTGTTGTGTGCGATAAGACTTAATCAAAGAAATAAAATAATAAATAAATTTCAATATTTGGTATTATAAGTCCCAAGTGCAAATTGACAATATAAAAAGAGAAAAAAAAAAATCCATGATGCTTAAAGATGACTTACTATTTTCTGTTTAATAAATGCTTCTCTACTTTGATTCCAGATGTAAAAGTTGCTGGAATCTCGGGGTGACTCTGTTCCTGATTATTGTTAATGCAGTACAGTTGACTTTACAAGTACTGCAAGTACAATTGACTTTGATCAAGAGAGTAGTACAGTACAAACTACATACACTATCCACTTAATATATCAAGCTACATGGCATAATATACAGGAGAGATATGCTTAGCAACTCCATAATTCTGTTCGAGAATATTAGCTTAAATTACCTAATCAAGTTCATATTTTGCAAATTTCCTCTGGATTGAGATCAGCACGTCGTGGCATATTCCAAAATAACCTTCCCTTTACGTGAACCTGTTGTTGCCAGAACCTGGTTTAAACAATATACATGCCATTCTATTGGGAAAATTTGGGGATTGATAAATTGCTGAAATCAATAATGACATACAAAAGACTTTTATCTGATACTAGTTCATTTATCAGAATGCTTAAAATGAAAATTATCCCTGTGAGAAGTCCTATTTACATGTATCTGAGGACTGTCATTCCAAAACCAATTCCAAGAAAAGTTGCAATGGCAACTCCAAAAACACCGACAAGAATTCCTGGAACAACCAAAGAACCCCATCCTTTGGCTGTGGCCATTCCACAGGCTGTTGTAGGGCCTCCAATGTTGGCATTGGATGCCAAAAGTAACAGCTTCAAATCAAGATGAAATAGCTTTCCCAATCCAAGGATCACGGCAAGATGAACGGTTATTTGAACCAGAGCAAACAAAAAAATACTTGGAGCTGTATTGATAACAGTCCATAGATTTCCACTAGCACCCACCACGGCAAAGAACACCTGTTATCACTCATAAAAGCTTTCAGCTGATATCCTCTTATTTCCTTGGCAAGCTTAAAATTTGAAGACAGTCAATTTGGCTTTCGATTCACCATCCAGAAATTCAGAAGGAAAACATAAATTTAAATTCTTCTAAGAAATGGTAAGGTTAAAAATTTAATATGGAACAAAAGTATCAGAGATTTTCAGGAAGAACTCCAAAATTTTAAAGCTTTTGGTTATGCTTCTTACAAGTTAAAATATCTAAAGCTATCAGTTGGCCGTTATTTGAGTAAATATCAAGAGAAAGAAGGCTTTTCTACTTGCATGAATTGAACACCCAAAATAGAAAGAAGCATAACAATTTAAGACGAAGGACAAGATGTAATTAATCACTTTGGATGTATTGGGGATATTTCATTTACCTGCATCAGAACCAAAGCAACAGTGTCACTGGCTGGTGCAAGATAACCAGATTGTGCTGGAAAAATAGTTGCTAAAATGACAACTAAAGCTGTTACTCCTGGAAGGCAACCTCCTTGAATATTCCATAATTTTGTGAGATAATTAACAGCTTTACATATCACAAAAGATATAGCAACAGCTGTAGCAGTTTGAAGCACAGCGTTCTTGCCTCCAGAAGAGGACAACATATCCATTTCAACATCTGTCAAAGAATTACATATCATGATGGGGAATATTTTATCTTGGTATCTAGAAATCAATTTTTTAAATGATAAAAAATTACGGGATCCCCATTTTTCTTCTTGAAGACAAAACTTCCATCAAATACAGTTTTCAATTTCACAAGACATGTTGCCAGCTAAATGATTATGTACCACTCTTAGATTCTGAAGACTCAGGAGGAATTTTAGAGGCTAATGCAAACAACACCAGAAAGTAAATTGCACAGATAACATTGTCTGCTGCAACTCCGGCTGCCAAAACAGATGATGAAACACCAAGAGCCTCTGAAATTGCAACATAATTAAGAGCTACAGATTCAGAAAATGATATTGTCAGTCATGAAAGTGAACTTCGTAGATAAGACATGCATTCATGTACAAAGTGGTCAACAACCTATCGTTTATTTTTTTTTCTTCGCTAAAAATTGATTTCCTTTCATGTTTATGAGCATGTGTCTGTGTGTGTATCCTGCAATGCACATAAGCACCACATATTCCTAATTGAAGTGGGCAGTGGGTTACAGATTTACAAAAATATATTTGATAGTTACAATCCTTATCTTTGAAATATACCTCAATTATCTATGATTGAGAGCTCACCAAAAGTAAAATGCAACAATATGTCCTGACTGCCTACAACTTACATCCACCAATATAGCTACCCATGAGAGCAGAAGCTATTTTCCAATTATCCGGACCAAGCGATCGCATAGGAACCATCAGGAAAGCCACTAAAGTTCCGATGATAGTAGCAACTGTCATGTAAAGAAATGAATGAAAATTATGGGTCAAAAGAAGGTCAGCAGCACGTACCATTCTCATGAAGAAGATTCATTCTTTTTCTTCTTTTTTCTTTTTTAAGTCATCTGCATACAGATATCTCACTTGTACTCAGATTTAACTTGAAGCTAATAGGCTGTGGTCCTAACATATGATAATTCTTATCATGACTGTCACAACTCAAAATGAAAATCACAAGTCATCTAAGACTTTAAGTAGACAGGCAATCAGTTTTAGAGTAGAAGATAGAAGCCCATAATGAAATTGGCCAGCTATTGACAGTAGAGTTTGGATAGCAAATTAAAAGACAAATTTCCTTAGTAGAACAAGTTACACACCTTGACACTCAAAAAACGAAGTTGTAGTGGCCAATTTAGCAGTCAGCACTTTTTTTTTCTTGAAATAAACATGAGTAAAAATGTCACTAAAATCGGCACCAAGGGGGTCATAAACCTGTATACAAAATATTTACTAAATACTTAGCAGTCAGCAAATTAGAACAAAGGAGATCATAGTTGAAATAAGGGCCACATCTAGTCCTGAAAAAATGATCTCAATGGCCTACTCTAAATTTCCTAATATAACAAGCCATGCTAAAGCAATTGAGAATCAGAACTCTTTAATTCTTCAGTCATCCAGAGTAACCTCTTACCAGAATTTACCATCACAATGGTGGAAGAATTGTTGCGCTAGATATTTAGATACTAAATTTGTGTAGTCACTGTTGTGACTGGCATAATATACAATAATGGAACGAATATAGAGATTTAATAGATAGAGATATAAGATAGCCTTTCATAATCTGCCTTGTCCATAAGACCCGTAAACAGGGACACCTTGCTACAAACACTTGTAATCCCATTTATTTTGTTAGCTATCCTAGAATAGATAAATATACATAAGTTAGATTGACTGAACAACAAAATCCACAAAGAACTGGAAAGAAAGAAAGACACAACTCTTCATACTAAAATTCTTTCAGGTTCTTCTCAAGATAATGGATTCTTCATTTTATCCTTGAGTATACTGAGTTGGACATCATCTAAAAAGATAAGTATAGCTGTTGGACCCTTCAAAACTAATGGAAGACCTAAGAAAAGCAGACGACTTCTACCAAGTCCCAAAATAATAGTTCTTCTCCTTAAAAAATGTGAGTCATTAGCAACCTAAAACAAATCTGGTAGGACACAACACAGAGTCCTGGCATTGGCAACCAGTTGAGGTCCTCCTTTTGCCTTTTATTTATTGCCAAAAGTTGCAATTCTTCCTATCACAGCTAAGCAAATTACCCCTATAAATTAAGTTGTTTGGTTCAAATCTATATTATTCTCATTTTATTTATAGATTCAAGTTACTTAATAGGCAGAATTTGTTTATAATTTGAATATTTGATGCATAACTGAACTATTTTCATCTTCAACTCTGGGTTGATGAAGGAACAACAGAATTTCCTCAAATTAAATTGTAAGTACAATGGAAATGACTTACAATTAGAATGTTATTTGCACTCAAATCTTTATCACATCTTCATTGTGTTCTCTTACTATTCAATAGAAATGAGATTTGAACTAAAAGTACTTAAGTTTCCAACACTTATTGAACTTTTTTTTACTTACTGAACTTTTTCTAACGCATGAGGAAGCAATTCTAACAATCTAGATACTTTTCACAACCATAAAAGTCTTGCGCCTCTTCAAAAAAGCACAAAGTGCAGCATCTTGGATTCTGAACTTATATCATGAATATTCATGATTACAATCCAATGGAGACGAATCACCATGACACAGATTTTTTGATATTCAAACCGATAAAATACCTGATCCAAGCAAGAAAGCAAGGAGCAAAGTTCCAGTTGACCGTACTACACGACGCAGGTCTGCTCTAAACAACAGCAATGGAACAGCTAATGGTAATAGAAACTCCAAGAAAATCCAGTAGGCCGGCGCTTCATGAGGAATAATCCCTAAATTGCTCGCTGCAAGTCCAACCAATGTGCTCACCAGTGCAGCACTCACCATGCTCCCAATCTTCGTCTTCTCAGCCCTGAACAAAAAAAACAAAAACAAACAATAGCGATTACCTAAAATACTCTGAATGAACTTCGAAGAGTATATAAAATTAAAATTTAAGCAAAAAAAAAAAAGGAACTGAAAGAGGGAGTAAATTAATTACCAGAGACCAAAAGCGCCGGCAGCGAAGAGCGCAGTCCATGTGCCCCAGTGGTCGTCCGGAGAAATGATAGAGTACCTCAGCTGTGACCGAGCTTCCACGCGTCGAATCGAGATAGTGCTCCAATGCAAGGTCGATGGTGAGAGAAATGCTCTGTTTCTGCGTTCAAATGTTGGTTTCTTTTCCCATTGATGGTTTGGTAGAGTGAGGAGGCGATGGCGGGAAGAGGAGAGAGACAGCTGGTGCAACTGGATTGGTGGTGACGGACCAAACGGCAATGTAGAGAGAGCTGCCATCGATTACTGAATCGTTATTCTCGCAGAGAAGACCGACTGAGAAAAAGAGACCTAAGTTTCTCATTCATCTTGTAATCATATGGGTTTGGCAGTTATTGGCCACCTTAGAATGACGACGATGAGGTGGCAAATATCCACGTGTCAATCTTTGATTGGCAAACTCTACCATGGAATGTGCACGATATTTTTTTCTTAAAAAACTTCAAAAAACTTTTTGATGCCTTTAAAATTTTTTTTTTACCGTTAAAAAGGACAAATTTAGTTCGAAATAAAAGAAAATAAAGTTATTTTTTTAATAAATTTATATATTTATTAATTAAGTTATTATATATATATATATCAATTATAATATAAATTCTTAAACCATGATATATATATATATATAGGAACACTTTCTGGCTTGAACTATAATTTTTTATATAAAAAAAAAAAAAGCCTACAACTATTTTAGAACAAATAGCATTATTTGTTTATTTTAACAGCAAGCAAATAGCATTTTTTCCCAGCCAAGAATAACATAGTTTTACAGATATTACTGTAACTAAAGTTCATCCAGGTTACAGGTCAGCTCAGTTCTAGTCTACATAATCTAAAACTTCTACATGAATTTCAGGACATATACTCCAAATCCAATGCCAAGAAAAGTTGCAACGGCAATACCAAAGATTCCGGCAAGTATACCAGGAACTACCATTGAACTCCATCCTTTGGCAGTGGCCATTCCACAGGCTGTTGTAGGACCTCCAACATTTGCATTTGATGCCAAAAGCAGTAGCTTCAGGTCAAACCGAAACAACTTTCCTAATCCAAGGATCACCGCAAGATGGACCGCGATCTGGACCAGAGCAAACATGAAAATACCAGGCGCTGTTGCTATCACACTCCATATGTTTCCGCTAGCACCCACCACCGTGAAGAATACCTGTACAGAAACAAGTTGCAGAAAACAGGCTACAAGGTGCAAAATAAACTGAGGAATTTCTTGCGAAGAATTAGATCAGGTCGAGTAGATTGGAAGAATGGGAGATTTGTCCAATAAAATTGGCTCACCTGCATCAGTATTAGAGCCATAGCCTCACCAGCTGGTGCAAGGTGACTGAACTGATGTGGAAATACAGTTGCTAAAATGACAACAATTGCTGTTATGATAGGCAGGTTACCCCCCTGAATTCCAAAATATTTTGCAAGAAATGTAGAAACCTTGCAGATAGCGAACGATACAGCAAGAGCAGTAGCAATCTGCAGCACAGGAAGTTTGCCACCATTTTCAGAACCTTCATTCACTGCAACATCTGTTATACTTCCAAACTGAATTAGTGGGCTCATTATTTCGATAATACAAAAATCGACATAATACAGCAACAATTGATGCTTAAAGAAAGCTAGAGTAAGAGAAACAGCTGGGGAAATAGTCATAAAATAACTCACCTGAGATGTGATAATCAATCATAAAGAGACTGGAGCTAGAAAAATAAAAAACTAATGGTAAAGTCTCACGCACCACTGGTTGCAGATGAAGTCTCAGGAGGTATCTTAGAGGCCAATGCGAACAACGATGTGAAATATATTGCACAAATTACATTATCAGCAGCTAACCCAGCAGCTAAAACTGATGAAGAAATCCCAAGAGCTTCGGAAATGGCAACATAATTGACCGCTGAACAGCATAAAAAACAAAACTTTTATCAGGCATGAGGGACAAACCACAAGTGGATTGAAGCAAAAGAAATATATAAAACTACAACAAACCATGATACGAATACAATAACATTTTCAGAACTCACATCTTTGGCAGAGGAAAAAAGCAAATTACCTCCACCAATATGTCTACCCATGAGAGCGGCTGCTATTTTCCAACTATCTTGACCAAGCGATCTCATTGGCACCAAAAGATACGCCAATACTGTCCCAACAGTTGTAGCAACTACCAACACAGCGAAGAAAAACAACTCTCAAAAATACTCCTAACCGGACATTGCAGAGCACTGAAATCAAAAGTCAATTGTAAAGATCACAGTGCAATCTGTCCACCTATTACCAATATTCATTTTCTCAGTACCACATTCTTGTAGTAACAAACAAGTGTTGGTCCGCAAAAATATTGGAGCTTGATTTCAGGGCAATGGTTATCACTTATCAAAACAAGTAGTGTCATAAACTCAAGCTCCTAACATGAACTATAAGTACTAGTATTTTCGTCCATGATTATACAAATTTGTTAGGAGAAACATAATTACAATTTCTAAAACTATTATTCTTTAGATATTAAATTGATGACTAAAAACTAATGTTTACAAGTAATGTTATAAGCTTCAACTTACAAGATTAGAATCAGAACTAAACCTCTAACTTCAACATCATCAACAACTCTTTTCTCAAGCTTTAAACTACAAACACAGAAATAGACTTGA